AATTCATCTTGAATTAGCCATAGAATTGCTCCCTTCCCTTCCTTTCTTCCCAAGTCTGTCTTCTCATTTAGATTCACCTTCAACCATTGAGCCCAGAAAAGTTACTAGACTGAGCATGGTGTATCAAACAGGTGAATTTGGGTCTTTCCTGGAGATGATAAGGGGAGAGTCTGGCACAGTCTTAAGTCCTTTCTTCACAATAATATTATGAAGTAAAATCTATTATTAGCCCATTCCTGTGCATGAGGAAACAGGAGAGTAGACGTGTTCTTGGCAATATTATTAGGTTATTTTTTGCTGCCTTAATTATCCACAATAAGGGAATAATAATAAATGGGTTATATGAAAGTGACACCTAAAAGGGAGGGTTTTCTCTTTCATGAGTCATGGTTCTATTTTAAATCCAGGAAACTAGAAACAAACTAGAAGTTCTAGTGATAATACTTAAAAGTTATGCATATGGTATTTTATTATGCTTCTATCAGAATAATGGACTATGTTTGTATCTGCAAAGATGGATTAAAAATGATAAGTAAAAAATCCTATAAATTTATATCTATATTGGCAATTACAAATATAGTTCTGTGTGTCACTTTACAACAGAGAAGTTTTTCTGTATTAAAGCAGTAGAGAATCTGACAGGGCAGTCGGGATGACAAGTAGAAAGCTTCAGATGTCTTCTGCAAAGCAATGATTGCCAGTTGGGTAACAGAAACAGCGTATTTTAGGAAGGCTGGAATTGAAATGTAAGAAGAACAAAAAGAAGATGAAGTGAAAGTTATTGCCCAAGATGGAGTGTCTGTCCAGTGTTAAAAGTTCCAGAAGACCTTTAGGAATAAACCTAAACTCCCTAGAAATGGAAAAATTTCCCAGAGTGCTTGTTGCATAATTGTTCATAAAAATTAATGAGTGTTACCTGTAAGTAAAAGCATACAGAAGCAAATTTGGATAATCCTAGGTTTCATAAAATGAAAGATTCTTTTTTGTAAGACTTGTTAGCCCCTTTAATGAGCATATTCTGGGTGCTCAGGGGTGGAGGCAGCATCATCTCAGAGACTTGGTTGCTGAGACCACAGAACAGGTTTGGTTCTTGTTACTAGGAACAGTGTTACACAGATTGCACTTTATGAAACATGGGGAATGTTACTGGAGGTGTCCACGCAGGTGTGAAGATTGCACATGCAGCTTTCTGTGAGCAGGTAGGCTTGAGGTGATGAGCTAACTCGGGACCTTGCATTTGGCAGGCAGGTGGTGGAACCACTGAGCTAAATCCCCGGCCCCAGCTAAAGTGTATCTTAGAGGAAATGTTCCAGAGTGAAGGACAATTATGCAGTACATGCTGTTTTCAGTAGCAATCCATGAAAATCAGTTCTGTCAATCTAAAAGTATTCCTTATTTTTAATATCAGAAGTATGTGGCCAGGGATTTAGCTCAGTGGTTCCGCTGCCTGCCTTGCAAGTGCAAGGTCCTGAGTTTGATCCCCGGTACAAAAAAAAAAAGTATGCTCTATGAGGCAAGTCACACTTGAGAATCTGCATTTGATTTGGTTCTAATCTGTTAGGATACCAAATACACCATCTAGCTCTTAGCTGGTTTTAAGGAATAGGCTGAAGCTTATATTTGTATTTAAGAATAACCTGATGGAAGTTTCCATATTCTTCTCCCCAACTTCTTAGTATCACCACTAGGGTCAGAGTTGCCAGCAAGCTGAAAAAGATGACCAGATCCAATGGCCATTTTCTGTCCTTAGTTTATGGGACCTCTTGACATCTTCTGGCCTGGTGGTGTCTTACCTGGAAACATTCTCCTCTCTCGGTTTTCATGATGCTGCACTCTCCTGGTTTTGGTGCTCTTTGGCTGGTACTTTTGTTTGCTTTGTAAGTTTCTCTTCTGCTAATTTCTGTGTTTTACATGCAAGGGCTCAGTTTTGTGTCTTCTTTTCTTTGATATTTGCCTCCAGGTGAATTCCTTTTAGTCTTGTGGCTATTTCTCCATACCCTCTGTATGGTGATAACTCCCAAATCTATTTGTGGTAGCCTCAAACACACACTCTCATTTTCCCTGTTGTCCTCTCCACATCCACACTTTTTCTCACCTTTGTAATCTTTCCTGCATAGCAGTCAGTCATCTTTTGGTATGTAAATCTGATTATATCCATTTTAAAGCTACACTCAGTTTTATATGAAATCTAGACTCCTTTCCTGGCTTCACAGGGACTGTCAAAGTCTGGCCATTTCTGGTCTTTCCTGCTCACCTTGTTAAGGAGCACCCCTTGCTCACTGTGCCCCATCCCCCTGGTCCATTGTCAGTCCCTCACATATTCTGCTTTTATCAGGAGCAGTTTCCTTTCCTTCATCCTTTGCATGGCTGACCTCTTTTTACTCTCTATTCTTAGCTCTCATTTCTTGGGAAGGCCTTCATTCACTGCCCGTAAGAGGTATATGCTCCCATTCCTCACACTCTTATCTCTTAAGAGTCCTCGTCACAATATTTGCTTATTCATTTTATTCACCAATTTATCATCAGTGTGTAGCTTGTAGTAAAGTGCCCTTTAAAGTGTTTTTTGAATGAAATAAGAAAATGTGAACACTTGAATTCTGAGGTAAAAATATCTCGATAGTTTATTTTTCATTATATTCCTTTACATTTATTTTAACTCCCTTTATTATATTCTGAATATAGTTGGTGAGCTCAGAGTAGTTACTTGTTTCATTTCAGTATTGATTCATACAATGCTCAGGTGCAGAGATAAATGATAAGAGAATGTAATAAATAGTAATGATGAGAGACAAGGAAATGGTTGCAGTACCGCAGAGTAGGTACTACAGTGAAGGTTCATCAGGAGTACCATGTAGAGAATAGGTACTTTTTTGAGGGGAGGCTCTGAAGGGCTGTGACATGGGTTGGGTCTTGAAATACTGCCCTAGTCAGAAGACTCAGGTAGAAGGAAAGGTAGAAGGGCATTCATACTGAGGTGCAGTTTTGCACTGGGGAGAGATGTTGAGATAGCAGGTGTCCTTTGATCCGCAAGACCATTCCATTCCTGAGTTTTTGATAGTAAATATTAAGAGGCTGGACAGCTATTTGGTTCCTGAGTTTGTGCAGGAAGACTTTGGGTATGGCTATAATAAAGGATACCCATGGGAGATCCTGGGGTCTGAAGTTAAAGTTGTCACAGGATAGAACCCAGACAGAAGCACACCCTGTGCTATGCTGTGGACTGACTTACCACTGGAAGATTTTACGAAGCCACTTGCATGATAAGTGTTTCAGAACATTCTTTTGACAAGTTAAAGGAGTGTGCGTCAAGAGGCAAGAGGCAGGTGTCAGGCTGATCTGCAAAGTGAGAGGTACTGAGAGAATGAATAGTCAGGTGCTTGGAGGGATGGGAACAGATTCAACAGACTAAAACCATACCGGATGATCTTCTGATCTGTAGCAGTCTGAGGTCCTGTGTAGGGAGAGGTGCTGCCTACTAGTTTAGAGGGAACTGGTAAGTAGCACATCTGAAGAGGAAAGATGCTCTATTGAAATTACTGAGTTTGAGATAACAGTTGGATAAGTATTCATGGAGAGTAGTAGAGATCTGAGTCTGAAACTCAGGTATAAGATGTAGGGTAAAAACATTAGAGTCTGCCAAAACTATTAGTGTACTTGGCTATCAGCACAGGAGTAGTTAAGACTCTGGGAAGAGGAGGCAGAGAAAGACAGCCAAGGATAGTGCCCTGGGGAACATACAAATTTAAGGAAATTAAATGTTATTGCTGGGCACAGTGGTGCATGCCTATAATCTCAGCACTTTGGGAGGCTGAGGTGGAGGGATTGCAAGTTCAAGGCCAGACTGGGCAATTTAGTGAAACTCTCTCAAAATAAAAAATAAGAAAAGGGTTGGGCATGTAGCTCAGTGTGAAGGCCATAGGTTCAATCTCCAGTACTATTCCCCCCCCCCCGGAAAAAAAAAATATTAGTGAAAGAAAAGCTCTACAGAGTTGTAGGAAGACAGAGCTGACTTTTCAAGAAGCAGTCATATGTTGGAGACCACCATGTTCATAATGGAAAAGTAATGGTTTCTCCATTAAAACCTAATTCGTTTTCTTAACTACAGACTATACTTCCAGCCCCAGCTAATTGTTTTGAAAATATTTCATCTTAGTTGAAGGGAAGAGATGAACGACTGTTTCAACTGAATCATTACAAATTGATTATCATCTCTGGAAAAATCAATTCGGTATACCAATATATTGGGAAGGCAGTATATTTTCATGTAAATTAATATGCAGTATTTTATTATATACCAGATAAATTGCAAAGCACTGTATTTTTTTGGTGTAATTTTATTGCCAGTTATACAGTTAGCATCCTGATGGTAGGATTTGTCTTAAATACAGTGTGCTTTAATGTAATGTCTTATAGTATGGGTGCTGTAGTTAAAGGAGAATGTCAGCCAGAGAAGCTACATGTCCTTGGTGCAGTGTCTACTGTCTGTCCTCTGCTTTGATAGGATATGAAGGATGTGGCTGCACGCATGATAACTCTACTCAAAAGACACTAACTTCTAAAGAGAAAAATGCTGATTTAGCAAAATTAGTGAACCATGTAACTAAACAAACAAGCTGTTCATCCCAATCTCTGTTTGGAAAAACTTAGTAATAGATTTGAAATATAAGCAGAAAGTTGGTTGGGGAATGCAGGATCTGAGAAAGCTGAATAATCTTACTTTGATGGTGGGAGAAGAAAATTAAATTGTCTTTTATATTCAGAATCCTATAAATAAAATTTAGCTGAGGGGATCTCTGATAAGTAGGCAGGGTGTAGGGTCCAGAGGCGATTATGTCTGTCTGCATTAAAGGACCTAATAATCTCTTCGAGTACAGTGACAAGAATTGACATTATTTTTTCCTTTGAGGGAATGTATGAGGGATATTCATAATGCCATGTTTGATGCAAATGGATTTTAAAATGGATTAGAATGCTTTAATAATTTTTCTTTGAACCTGCAGGTTCTTCTGAAAAGAAAGTTGAACATTTATCCACGAATCAAGAAGATAACATTGCATACCCTATCAGGAATGGTAAAGCAAGTCCAGTACCTAAAGATCAGCGGACTGGAAAGAAAATCTCAGAGAATTCATCAGTACAGGGTCAAGTGCAAAAGGGGAATGATGACTCTGAAAGTGATTTTGAATCAGACCCCCCTTCTCCAAAGAGCAGTGAAGAGGAAGAGCAAGAGGATGAAGAAATTCAGGGAGAACAAGGAGATTTTAATGATGATGATACTGAACCGGAAAATCTGGGTCACAGGCCTCTCCTCATGGATTCTGAAGATGAAGAAGAAGAGGAGAAACATAGCTCTGATTCTGAGTATGAGCAGGCTAAAACAAAGTACACTGACATGAACCCTGTCTACAGAGATAAACTTGGCAGTGGACCAACCCGAGACCCTAATACAACAGCACTCCTCACTCCAACTCATTTACCCACTGATGCTGGGGTAGACACGCCCAAACAGGAGTTTGATGTATTTGGTGCTGTCCCCTTCTTTGCAGTTCACACTCAACAGTCCCAGCAAGGAGAGAATGAAAAGAACCTCTGTCAACAGACATTTCCTACCATGGGACTAGAGCAAGAGGAGTTTGATGTATTCACAAAGGCACCCTTTAGCAAGAAGGTGAATGTACAGGATTGCCCTATAGTGGGGCCTGAAGCACATACTCTCCCTGGTTGTCCCAAAAGTGTAGATATATTTGGCTTCACTCCCTTTCAGCCCTTTCCCACATCTGCAAGTAAAAGTGAAAGCAAAGAGGACCTTTTTGGGCTTGTGCCCTTTGAGGAAATAACTGGGAACCAGCAGCAAAAAGTCAAACAGCGCAGCTTACAGAAACTGTCCTCTCGCCAAAGGCGCACAAAGCAGGATACGTCCAAAAATAATGGGAAGCGGCATCATGGCACGCCAACTAGCACAAAGAAGACTTTGAAGCCTACCTACCGCACTCCAGAGAGGGCTCGCAGGCACAAAAAAGTGGGCCGCCGAGACTCTCAAAGCAGCAATGAATTTTTAACCATCTCAGACTCTAAGGAGAATATTAGTGTTGCACTAACTGATGGGAAAGACAGAGGGAATGTCCTGCAATCTGAGGAGAGTCTGTTGGACCCCTTCGGTGCCAAGCCCTTCCATCCTCCAGACCTGCCATGGCACCAGTCACATCAAGGCCTGAGTGACATCTGTGCTGATCACAATACCGTCCTGCCTGGGCGGCCAAGACAGAACTCGCTACATGGGTCATTCCATAGTGCAGATGTGTTGAAAATGGATGACTTTGGTGCCGTGCCCTTTACAGAACTTGTGGTGCAAAGCATCACGCCACATCAGTCCCAACAGTCCCAACCAGTTGAATTAGACCCATTTGGTGCTGCTCCATTTCCTTCTAAACAGTAGAAACATCTGATGGATTTTTCACATTAACTCCTGTTTCAAAAGAGTATGAATAGTTTTATGAATTTTAAAGAAAATTTATTTGTATACTCTTTATATCATTCATTCTTACAAGTCCAGATAGGTGATTTTTTAAAAAACCAAATAGAAAAGGGAAGTCTCCCTACAGGGTAGTAACTGGATGCTTCTTCCAAGCAGGAGAAAAAGGAGCTGAATTCTGAATTGAAAGCTCCAAGGATGGGTTTCTGCTGCTGACACTGGGACACAGAAATGCAAAGGGACACTTGCAGTGAAAGCTCAAGGAGTCCAAAGGGACAGGAAAGCTGTATCGTTTTTCTTGGTATCAGAATATCACTTATGTGCATATCCAGGCTCATTCCAGATCCAGCATTTAAAACTAGGCTGATTTGTACATACATATGTTACATTTGTGAGATTTAGGGTCTCTTCTAATTTTCACACAGTGAAAAGTAATCTAACTTGTAAAGAACTAGGAAGATACTAGTTGGACATGATAGATGTCGATTCATACACCTTTCTCTATAAAGCAGAGCCAGAAGTAACTATTGTGCCTAAAACGCTGTTGCATTTTAAAAACAAGTGCCATTAATATGGAATATCTAATGATAATTATGTGAAATAACATATATGTTAATTAGCTTAATTTTGTCCTTCTGCAATGTATACATATTTTAAAATATGTTGTACATGATATATAGTTTTGTCAATAAGAAATTAACTTTTAAAATATGGAATATCTAATAGCCTAGAACAAAAATATAAAGAGAATTATCTGGCATTTGAAAAATGTAAAAGAAAAAAGATATGTAAGAATGGAAAAATAGTCAATGGTTTAGAAACATTTTATATTATTTTTAAGTGGCTTCTTGCCAAAACCTTTTATTGTCATGTCCCTAATGAAGCAGATTATTGGGAAAAAAACCAAAATAAAACCTAAGAGTGAGGAAAAAGGGTATATGGAAGTTTTCAGGAGAAAATGGAGCTGAAACCCTGAATTTTTAAAATGTTTACAATGTAAAATCATGTTGTTTTTAATAATGTACTTTATTAAATTACCACCTTCATCAAAGGTTCCCCAAGTCATGAGCAACAATTAGCTTCCTTAGGTTTGGAGGGTGAAGTAGTTTTAATAAAGTGCACAGAGCAGACCACCCACAAAGCCTTACAGGCAGGACTGCTTCCTGCTGTAATACCTCTGCGCTGGCACCAGACCCGAAAAGGGAGTAAGGAAGGAGAGGGCGAGGGCCAGCGTCTTGATTCTGCTAGCGGATTGTCTTCAGTGAAAAGAACCCAGCTACTACATGGCCTTTTTTTTTTTTTTAACACCTCAAATCCTAATTAGAAACTTGAGATTTTATAGAAATTTAATGATAGTAATTACATACATGGATTAATGTGAACACAGTATCTAAGCTTCCTGTGTGTCTATGTTAAATTATAATTAACTGTCTTTTACTATCAGCTTAACATTTGGAAGTTTCTAGAACTGTTAAAGCTATTTACAAAAAAGGGTGGAAACTTCAATTCACACTCTCCTTGATTGCTATATTTTAAATTAATATTTGCACCCAATTAAAGTATTCTATGAGTAATCTTAGTAGAATCTCTTAATTGTAGTATCCCAGTAGGATAAGTTATTTATCTGTTTTTAGTTCTGAGCTTGGAAGGAGGCACAGTATATGTAACTAAACCACATGTTCACTTTTGGTTGCTTTTTTTTCTTGCCTGCATGCTAACTCAGAAATTTGTGGGTAGGGAAGAAATCTGTGAATCACAATGCAGCAGAGGGCGACCAAGCAGTACATTACCACTCACAGTTGTGCTTTTAGAGCTGGTCTGTAGCAGTTGTCCTTGTGCCAAAGGCAAATATTACGTTTGCACCTTTTTTTCCTCCCTGATTCTCAGGTTAATACTGCTAATGCAAATGTTCAAGTAGATATTCTTTAAAAATAGATTCAAGTGACACTTTCTTTTACAAGTGAGTAAATTCATGAACTACAGCAGGTTTGTATCAAACAAGTTTTTAAAATGGAAACCTGTTGGTTAATGTGTACACAATATGCTTCTTTGACTATTAAGATCCTTGGTCTCTGCTAGACCTCACAAGTTTGTCATTTAGAAGGGTAGCAGATGAACTAATGTGGTCTCCTTCGGGTATAAACCCAACAAATACCTAGTTTTACTTGCTTTTCAGTACACTGAATAATTTTAAGTAACTCAGACACTGATAAGTATAGGACCCTTTGGCTTATAGTGCTGGATAAATTCTGGGGAAACAACTCTGCCACAGTTTAAAATATTTACCTTCTTGTTTTTTATAGTATATCCTGGTGATTTTCCTCTTTTGAGATTATTGCTCAGAGGAAAGATCTAGGATTGTTCAAATGGGATAGAAATGGTAAACTTCTTTTGTTCTGAGACATTTCCCCAAAAAGTGGAGATTTATACTTTTCATTTTCACTTACCACCTCCCCCACCATGGTCAAAGTATCACAGCTGATGGCCTAGGTAATTTCCTTAGGAGAAGTAAGCTCCCTAGACATGTGACAGCATTTAACATAGTACCTGGCACACTGCACTGAGCAAAATTTTGGCTCTATTATGAGACTGCTTTTTCCTATTTGGGTGTGCCCTGTGCCTAATGATGCATACTAGTCCTAACTCTAAACCTGCTATACTTGAACATCACTAAGGGAAGTAACAAGAAGCTAACAATCTGAGGCCAAAGTTGTTTCCTAACAGCTTTAATAGCTTGATTTTGAATCATCTTTTAAAAAGTGGACCATTTGCTTAACTATTCTAATATCACCTCAATAAAATGTTAGTATTAAAAAGATCAGTGTTGTGCATTGAGGACATTATGCATTAAGACACAAAAATTGTTGGTGTATATCATAGGTGGAGGAAAGGTTGCAGGTTGGATGAAAATGTAACTGATTAGCGTATTTATTCAGAATTGCAACCCCATCCCTGGTTATGTGTCTGTGGGGCATAGTTATGACATCATCTGGACTTGCAGATAAATGTATCTTTGGATACAACCCTGTGTATCATCTGTTAGCAGTTGACAGACTGTTCTCGTGCTGGTGGAAGAGACTAAGGTGGAGCCCACTCTTCTATGCTGGTGTTATCAGGCACTGCAATTCTCTTACTATGCTAGTCTGCTGGTTTTTTGTTTTTAGGTTTTGGTACTTCACATAAGCAATGTTAGAAGGTACAAGTGTATTAATATCACTAGTTCCTAAGAGTTTGGGTACATTTATCTTAATATATGTAGAATGTAACTTTTTTTCCTTTTGGCAAAACTACTCTTACCCTTTTAGGTCCAACTATTGACAGTCTACTGTGAGAATGAGATGACATATCTACTGTGAGAATAACATAAATGATAGTTTATTTGAAAACTTTTATACTCAGTGGTGTTTTATATATTAAGATTAAAAATATATATACACACACGCACATCACATCGCTCTACTGTGGAGTTAATGTGAATTTTAAGAAAATGGAATTGCAACTACAATCGTATCTAAAAGAACATTCACTCATAGGGTTTACAAAAGCCACTAAAAGAAGAAAGTAGATGGTGGAAAAATGCAGTCATCATTTTGGTGTTATTTTTGTTTTAAAATTTTTAGTGCTACTTTTGAAAGAGAATTGTTTTACTGTTCTCTTTTTGTGATTGAAAAGTCATCTAATAGTAAGCAATATAGAAGCTACTTTTTAATTGCTGGCAAACAGCTTTAAGTGCACTTTCTTTGATTATACTTCCATTTTTTTGTTAAACTTGAATTTCTGAAGCCTTTTATGTACCACTAAGCAAATAATTTTACTTTTAAATCAGATTTACATTTTTATTATATTTCTAATTGTTGTAAAATGTACTTTCTAAAGTATCTTCAGTCTTAAAATATAGCTGGGAAACTGTTATGAGATAGAAGCAGTTGCTTTTCCCCAAATCTAATTAAGCACTAATTTTATTACTTTGTCTTTACATTGCTTATTCTTCAATTCTGTCCCTGATTCACTTTGTTTTGTTTGAAATTTAAAGTTATTTTCTTACGGTATTTATCATACTTGTTTTAATAATCTGCTTTCTTTAAATGCAATAAATCCCCAATGGATTGCCTATTCTTTATAATCAGTGACTTTGGAGTTTTTCATTATCTGTCTCATTAAAGTTTTGGATATAAACTTCTATTCAGTTCTTTCATTCGTATCATAGACATTAAGCATGTGCCAGCTAATGGAATACAAAATAAGACTGGATCCCTGTTCTTAAGGAGCTTATAGTTTAGGATTTAAGAAAACCCATTTTGACCTGAATTTTTTCCAGTCAGAACACATAGTAGCACAAGTATTTAATCACAACTGTTATGATACCGTGAGGATAGCAAGACAAAAAGATCTTGAAGTGCCTTTTAAGTAACTTGTTTGGCCTAGTTCTTGTATTATTTGTAATTTAACTTTAAAACTCTTAAAAGACTGTTAACATATATAGCTGTTAAAAAGTTTTGGTTAAATAAGTCCTTGACTGTGTCAGAAAAGAGGCTTTGGGACATTAGGGAGAAAAAGCCATTTACTGGATAGATGGATGAAGTGTGGTGTCAAATTGCCTTATCATCATACAATGTATCATTCCACAAACTGGAGTCTAGATGAGTGGCTTGTGACAGTTTCTCAGCCACAAGAAAGATTCATCTTATTTGTTATGAATGGGCTTTTTCTTTTTTACAGTAGTAACATTTACCTCAAGTTATTTGAAAAACATGGGCTTTGTATTATTTAGTGAATAGTACAAAGCAGCAAAATGATGAGAAAAGTTATATAAAAGAATTTACAATGCATGATTGCTCAAATTGAGTTAAATACTTTAGAGAAAAATAGAATGTTTTCAATAATTTCTTTTAAGGAAGCCCAACTCAAGCACAGTATGTAGCATGTAGTTAGTATTCTCATATTGAAGGCATGAGCTTCTGAAATTTTATTTGTTGCATATTTTATTTTATTTTATTTTTTGTACCAGGGATCGAACTCCGGTCCTTGTGCTTGCGCAGCAGGCAACAAAGCCACTGAGGTAAATCCCCGGGCCTCTGTTGCATATTTTAAAAAGTTCAGTCTGCTGGCACAAATGAGATTATATGATACTAGGTAGTAGAGCAGTTCAAGGTCAGTTCAAGTGGCTGTTCATTTTTGGTACTGAGGATATAGACTCTTTTCATAAGAAGGCCTACTGCTAATTCTCCGTTTAGGAAAAGAAAAAAAGTAATTTGGTTTGGATCATTATCCCATTACCAGGCAGAAGTGCGGTAGAAAACTGAAATGCACCTCGATACTCAAGAGCATCTACACCTCATTTCAGTATAAACACAGTTACTGTGATAATGAATTACTACAAATGATTTGGGGTGGATATGGACCTAGTCAGCACAACAACTGGCCGGAGTCCAGGAGTGCAGGCTTTGCCCCTTGACATTTAATATAGGGCAAAGTAAATGTCTAGTAGGTACCTGCCGAATGGAGAGCTGTACACCTCTCTGCCAGCCAATCACAATCTTCCAATCGGTTACTCTGTCCAGGAGGGATGCCGTAAGATGTGACTGATAATCCCTGATTCTTCATTCCTGATTCTAAAATACGATTTTAAAGCTGTTATGTACTATAAAGAATGACAAGCAGCACTTAATATATTTAGTAAACTCAGTTTATTTACATAATACCTATTTTGTCATGCAGCTTACTGAATTGCACTCAGTGTAATAAAAAGACAAGCACTATCTTGTTATTTGAAAATGGCTTTATATACCTAAAAAGAATTGTTTAAAGTGTTAACTGTAACCCTATAAATCACTATCATTTAAAACAGCCATAGATAACTTAAAAATGTAAAGTCTGTAAAGACCTTTTATTTATAGATATGTAAAATTAAAACTAGTCTTTTTTAGTAATGTAGCTGGATAGTATACTTTTAATCTTATTTTAATTGATAAATAACTTAAATATACATTATTACAAGGCTCAGATTTATAGGCAACTTTAAATATTCTTTAATGTTAATAATGTCTTAAAAATGTTACCAGTAGTGCTGTGCACACAGTAGGTGATAAATGCTGACATACATAAGTGCTTATAATTGAGGACAATCCACATTCACTCATTCCTTACTTTATAATACATTATTGTGAAGATAAAAAAGAAGACAGCTTTCTTACAATATTTAACGTTTTCATAAAACATTGAAATGTTTATGTAGGATAATTCTGCCTACAGTTAGACCTATATGCATTCCTTTTAAATTCAAAGAAATAGTAATTTAAAAAGAGTGTATGCTCTTTTATACATTAACTCAGGTGGCAATTATTACATATATACTGTGACAAAGAGGAATTTTAAAAATTGAAACAAAGTAAAACTCAAGACTTTTTTCTTTACATTTTGAGATTTTAAAATAAAAATGGTTCCAAATCTAAAGTAACTGAACTTGCCTCTCATTTTAACTTGGTATATTAACTATGTACTTAGTGTATTTTGTTTGGCCAAAGTGACAAAATATCTATTTAAAAGCAATGTCACGTGAGCCAGTAAAGGGTGTTTTAGGGAAATATGTCCTATTGTCCCACCAATACATTTAACATAAGAATCAAATCTGTGGCCTTATGAGGTACATTAGCCATTTTCAGAGTAGCATTCCATGATCACAAAAGATATGCCAGAGTGAACCCTTACTGAGCCTACTAAAAGGGGTTATTTTCTAACCGCCTCCATGAATGGGGACTTTATATCCCCAAAACATATAGTGGAAAGAAACACATTTTACAGATGTATAAACTGAGGCACATTAAAGTTACTTTCCTAATACTGGATGTACAAAAGGCATTTTTGGAATGAGCTTCAACATCAATCAGCATTTCTTCTGATACTCAGTTAATGCTACTGTTCAGAAAATAAAATAGCAAACACAACAGCCTGTCAACTAATTAAGAAACTTTGGCATATCCCAATAAACAACATAAGGTTTATGAATGTCTGCCTTAAGAAATTTAATTTATGCATATGAAAAAACCCAAAGAACATTTGATTCTATATGATAGGGCAGTAACATGTATTTTATAAATATGAACAATAAAGGGCAAGTTTAATGCTTGGGTCCAAACTTTAGTGTTTATGAATACACTGAGTTCTCAATGTGATGCTAATCCATTCATAAACAGAAAACTAGAGCAATGGTGAATAATCTCATCAAATGGGGCATCTGCATGAATTTGTTCTAAGGCTTAAAGTTCACTTCAGGGTCAGGACAGGGCCATCATAGATCCTATGGCCTTAAGAGTAGCACCTATGTAGCTGGAAATCCCCATCATCATGAATTGCAGCAGCTTTAGAAAGGTGAAAGCTCTTCTGGAATTCTGCTATCAAAATCTTTTGCAATCCACTCTCAAGAACTCAATTATCACATGGAATCAAATAATATCTAGAATTAAAAGGCTTAGGTGGCTAATGATTTGGTTACTGGAATATAGAATGTCATTTAGTTATGTCCTTAGTTTTTAATGTGACTATTATCACATAAATAACAATGACTGATCTGTTCCTCTCCTCAACACCTCTCTCAAAGGAGAAGTTTGAGATTTTCTAAAATATCCAGTATTTTTAAGGAGAGCAGGACCTTTAGCTAAAGGAAATAATGTCTTAAGTGCCAATTTCTCACAAAATGTGTAAAGGCTGTGATTATTCAAAGTCTCTATCTTAGCTTGTATTAAGCATAGGCTGAAACAACGCTCACCTTGATTAGGCACTTAAATTTGATTACTTAATGAAAATACCTTCTATTAAAGCAATCAGACAGGATGACTCCATTTCCAATGGAGATGAGCCCTTTCTAAGAAAAGTAAGCCCGTGTTAAGTAAAATGAATTCCATTTCCATGATTGTTTCACATTCATGGTTGTTATTCATATGTTCTTATGATTGCCAACCAATGTTCACTTTCTGTACAAGCAGCAAATTAGTAGTTTTTAGGGTCTGTAAAGCAATTATTACTACAGATCTCCAAGTACATTTTTCCATTTTTATAAAGCATTACTCACCATACATTAAACAAGAGGAAAGAGCAAAAACTAATGGGAACCCTAGAAATAGTGGGGTATATAACTCCCCATTATATATTGCTTAACAACTGAATTCATCAGGTGGCCATACCTGAATTCACACACGTGAAACATAGTCAGGACAAGGTTTGCTATGTCTGTACTGCATGACATACACTGTTGACTGATGCCACCAATATAACATCACTACTGCAAGGATGTGCCATATTTGGTGGCTTGACCCGAGGTAGTTTAGTTGTCCTGTAAGGGAAAGCAGAAAGAAATTAGTATCGATTATACTATTTTGCTATTAAAAGAAATTTCCACCGTTGGCCTTGGGAATATGGTTTAGCAGCAAAAAAAACCTCTGGGAGTCTCAGTTCCTAGAGACTGACTAGAAATTCAGATTGAAATGTTTTGTTTAAAAGGATGAACTTGTTTGAGTCTAATTTTAAGGTTTTATTCATTAAGTACACAGGTGGATTTCAGGAATGCTATTCCAGTGTGTGTTTAAAATTTAACTTAATTTTGGGAATTTGACCTTTTGCTTCCTATGTCTTCTATCAGGTGGAATAGAAAAAAAACAATTACATGATAGAGGCAAAAGAAACTAGTGTGACAAATCAGAGTGATTTACTCTGAATCTGTAAGAAGCAGATGCACTGTTGTGTTTAGATATTAATCTGCCGGGAGTACTTTTTTGTTTTATGGTGATGTTCAAGGAGGAAAAGCTCACACTTGATTCTTAGGCCTTCTGACTAATGGAATAAACTGCAAAATTCTGTAATTAGTAATGGGTTACTTAACTAAGGCTAATTAGTTTATACACAACTTCAGAGAACAATTTAGTTTCTCTTTGTGGTTGTATGTTAAATTCCAAGGAGATCAAGTAATTAACATGTTGGAAGCATCTTAATTTTTCTCAGTAACCAACAAATACAGAGCTATAACAATGTAAGGGTAAACCTTTTCTTACTCTTGGTGCTTCTATGGTAGTGTAATGTAAACATTTTCTAACTTTTTTCTTTTTTTACCAAGAATAATACTTAGTACAGGACATAGCTTTGAAACTAACTTGAATCCTTATAGTTTTCTTTTCTTTTTTTGGTCCAATGGCCTCCTTTGACTCCTAGTGAAAACTACAAACCCATACAGAAGACTACAAAGAAAATGGATTGTTTTATAACACAAGTATGAAAGGTCTATTCAGTTCTGTACATGTATACCTTGGTGATCTTTGGGACCAACAGACACCACTGTGGTGTTTATGCATTTTTAAAAATTTTACATGAGTTGGATTTATGTTTTTAGGATTAAATTTTTTGATTTCCCAGTATCCACTGTCTGCATGGCCCACACTTCTCTCATGTATGGGAGAAGGCACTTACCCCTGAACATGTGAGACTATCACTTTCAACTGGAAAGACTTCAGTTTTTATGGTCGCCACATCTTAACACTCTCAGATACCTGACTCAGCCTCACAGCTACATGGAGCACACTCCATGTCAAGCTTATCTTGGAGGAAAGCTGGGTTACATAATATTTGGACTTTATAGGTGTCCTATAGTAGACAATTCTGAGCCTTTCATGTGAAAATTTTAAGGCCTAAAAACACTATGGCCATAATCACATAGTGTATTTTCAGGTTCAATTTTCTACTTGTCTGAGATGAAGAATCAGAATTCATTAAAGAATTGCTAGTAAAGTGATACAAAAAAATTTATTTTCCCAGAACTATGAGGAAAATTCTGGCCCTGCCTAGAAAATAGGTGCTCTTTAACAAAAGGGCATGTTCTGGTTATGTTCCTGAATTTTAATATGTACACACTCTGTCTGTATTCCCTTTCTTATTTAAAGCTTAGTGGTGAAAACCTAGCAGAGAGGAACACCAGAGGATCCATTCTCCTTTCCCTACACTTGAGGAGTGGTGCAATCCATCTCTAATTCCCCATGCAAGTGATTTATAACCCTGAAAGCAGGAAGGAGAAGTCTGCAACTTGTATTTAAACTGCTCCCTTTCCGTCCTGCAAACTGAAAAATCACTTTTTACGTACTTAATGTTATTCTTGAGTCAAAATAAACTTTCTTGGATCTGCATAATTCTGCCCCTTACTAAGCTACATTTTATACTTATAAGACCAAACTGAAGGACATCAATATAATAGTAACTGCTAACATTGAATGTTCACTCCCTGCTAGGAACTATTGTTTTTTTCTTTTTTTTTTTTTTTGGTACCGGGGATCGAACTCAGGACCTTGTGCTTTTGAGGCAGGTGGCGGAACCACTGAGATAAATCCCCGGCCCGGAACTATACTGCTTTAAGTGCATTTTTTCATCAAATCCTCACTATACCTCCAGAAAAAAGGGTATTAGCTCCATGTTTCAGATGAGGAATGTTACTGTTTATACTTAGATATTCCCACAAAGTTTCATGTGCCCATACCCATAAGTGGGACTTCTAAAAGGTGACTGGATCACGGGGGCTTATAGCTGACTTGCTGTTAGCAGGTGGGATCTAACTGGAGGTGGAGGATGAATAGGGGTGTGACCTTCCTCAGCTCCTCCCTATACTCTCTCTACTTCCTGTACGTCAAGAGGTGAGCGAGCAGGTTTCCTCTGCCCAGATCTGCCCACACCACTTCTGCCTGGAACCAGATGACCATGTAAGGACTGAATTTTCTAAACATGAGCCAAAATAATCTTCTCCTCCTTTAAGTTGCCACCTTCAGGTATTTTGTCCCAGCAAAGATGAAATTGACTAAGACATAGTAGCTGGAACTGAGAGGGTTTAAGTAACTTATTTAGCTCATGGAGCTTACTGCCAAACCCAAGCAGACTGACTCTGGATCTACCATGTCAAAAGAAGCAAGTACATGAAAGAATGTTCACTCTACCCTGTTGTCCTTTTCATTATTTTTCATCAAAATTTTTTTCCTCTGTATTGAAGGAGAGAATCTATCCTCTTAAGTAAGCTTGTGAATATCTTGGGAACATGAAGACTCTTCAATTTTTTTTTTCTTGGCTGTAATGCCAGGAAGCAAAAGTGAAATTGCAGATAAGAGAGGGAACTACTGTTTCATGAAAGTCCTTCTCTTCCACTGAGCTCAACTCACTGAGAGGATGAAAGGGAAAGTTTGTGAAAGCCTTTTAAAAGCTAAAGTTTTAGATAGTATTTGGGAATATAAGGATCATTCTATAATCAAATATACTGAGAAAACAAATCTAAGTTTTGATTCTCTGAAGCATTGTACTTCAACCATACATTTTGGAATAAAATTACAAAACCACTGTAAGAAATACTCACCTGGAAAGTACCGTTCTGGAACTTTGGAAATATAGAACAGGAAAGCAAGAAGAGCAATCACGTACATCACAATTACACGGGGTGCGAAGTCCTAAAAGCAAAATAGATATATATAAACATTTTCCTACTGTTACTGAATTCTCAATTTATTATGCATATAATGGTGGAATTAAAAATTGTTAAATGTGGATAGACTTCAGTAACCCAAGCTTTGCTCTCATTTCTTAAGAATAGAACACAGCAGATGCCCTTAATGTAAGGTTTCTAAAGGAGCTGGAGCTTTAGCAATGGGGAGGGTCCTAAAGGTGTCTAACTCCTCCACAGTATAGGAGTAGGGTAAAATGCATATGGGAACAATTACCAGCAAAGCAAGCAAAGAGATTAAACACCGAGGATTTATGGCTGGGAAAGACCTAAACATTTCTGCCAAAGACAGAAATTTTTTCCAGTACTCCAGATAGATGATCTTCTTGAGCACTACTATATGCAGTTCTCCATCTTACTGTTAATGATCTGCTGGAAAAGTTTATCTGGGTCCTGAGAAAATCAGCCAGTTATAATTTAAATGTGCTGTTTCTAATTCTGGCTATAAACCTAATTTACCAAGACTTCATTTAAGAAATAAAAACGATTATTTCTCTTACCTCTTCACATATATGAGAATAATCATAGCTCTCCTTAAATCCTATAGTCCTCAGATTAATCAACTTCTGATTTCTCAAATATTCTAGAACAGTGATGGTGAACCTAGACACATGTTGTTTTCTTTTAAGACAAAAGATGTTAATGTATGAGTTTTTTTTTAAACTAAAACCTCAGTATTCAGTTTTAATTGCAATGTTGGCACTCGGTGATAAACAAGTGGGTTTTGGGTTGCAATTTGGGCACTCATCTCTAAAAGGTTCACCATTGCTGGTCTAGAATATAACTTTACTCATCTCTCTGCATTAACCCAGAAAAACTTTTCATCTTTTTTTTTTTTGGTACTGGGGATCGAACTCCGATCCTTCCGCTTGCAGGGCAGGCGGCAGAACCACTGAGCTAAATCCCCAGCCCCAAACTTTTCATCTTTGATAACAGCCTCTCCTATCTTTTGAAAATCATAAATTAGAAAATTAGAAGTTTTCCTTTGCTTCCTCACTGGAATGATCTGTGCCTATATCACAATTTCATCTTTGAGAACCACTGTCTTCCTGTGTCATATTTCTATTTTAAGATTTCTGAACATAGAAATAGCCTTTTTTTCTAAATTTCTCTAAATCCACTGACTTTAACAGATTTTGTCTTTTTGTCATTACAAGCTTAAAAAGGATGTGTTCACCATACTCAAAAATTTTAATCACCTCTATGTCAACAACCAGTTTTTCATTTCTGGTCAGAATTAAATTTAGGGTTTCAGGGTGCCATTCTATTTTCTTTACTCAGGGAATCAAAATTGCCAAAAAGGGATGCTTTCCTAGATAGGAGAATCACTTACCTCCTTTATCACCACCATCTCACCTTTCTCTGTTTTCTAATCTTATGAAGAAAACACCCTCTTTGTTCTCAAATGAGTTGGATTGTACAGTCCAGCCCAGCCCACTGTCAGAGAATGGCCTTTGTTCTCAGTGGCATACCTAAGTCTTTTCACCATACTGTTGCTAACTTCATGCAGGTGAATGTAAGCCTACTAATAGTCCCTCCTCTTCTAATACCTGATTCTTTTGGAATAAAACCTGCCTTTAAAATTCTGCACTTCAGACAAGAGTCCCAGGGCAACAAATAACACATTTAGGTGACTTCTGCCCTTTGCAACAAATATAATATCCTAATTTCTGCCAGCTTTCTCACCATATTTACTTATGTTAAAAAATTTCAAATTTACTCTATAGCACACTTTAATTAGGATCTCTAAAAATGTATTTCTAATCCTCTTCTCAAGAATACTGGGTTTCTAATGCACATCAACTGTTCTCCCATAACACCTGACTTTAATAGCTCTGTGTTTCTCAGTTACTGCCCTTGGTGGGCTGAATATGCTTTCCTGGCCCCAGCTTCCAGTATAACACTTCCAAATCTTGTGATACAAGTCTCAAATTGTTGCCTAATTCCATACCCCATGTCTACTTTTACATCTTATACAGGATGTACTTCAAACTCAATTTGTCCAATAAAAAAATCCGTTTCAACTCCCTATGCCCCCCACCCCCCATACTCCTAGTTCTTTATTTTGGTTACCACTGGCATTTTCACTGACCTAGCAGACAAAGCCAGAAACTTTAAAGTTCTCCTTCATAGATAAAGACTTAAGTATTTACATACTATGTTACTAGAGAATTAATGTGTTATTTCACAGAAAGACATTCAGAAAGAAACAGTAGTTACACGTGACACTTTAACTCTACTTTTGAAAGGTTATGTTTAGTATATAGCTGTGAACATTATGGTGTTAACATACAATGAAAAATATGTCCTCAAAGGACACAAACCCATCCAGTCAGCCTGGTTATACCACTTTCCCTGAAATAAATACACTCCCCCTACCTGTACAATAGGAGCACCGATTCCTCCATTGAGCCAAACCCAGTGAAGAGTAGGGATCACTCCATAGCCCGAAACAGAACAAAAGATGATAGAACGGAGCCTCTGCCATTGCTGTGTGAGGTAACTGGGATGAATCTGTGCAAAGAACACTGCGAGGATCATAGCAAGCACTGTGATCAAGTACACCTGCCGCCAATACTAAAGGAAAGGGAAGGAAATAAAATTTTAACTCTCCTATTAACTACAAGAGAAAGAAAAGAGTAATTTTTATTTCTATATTAAACATTCAAAACTATTCAGTATTTTATTTCCAAGCAGGATTATTTACCTTCCTTAAAAATGCATATTTCATACCACTTAAAAGTTTCTTAGGATGAAAAGCCAAATTCCAAAGTGAGCTGGTAAAAGGCCACATTTATTTCCACACAAGTATATCCTGAGTGTTTCTGGTATGACAGGCACCGTTTAAGTCCTGTAGACACAAAGCAGACTCACCCATATGGTAAGCTCGCAGACTATGGCAGGGCAGACATAAGCATGTGATCACAATGTGCTGTAACTGAGTTACAAACAATGTTGTGGAACCACTGAAAAGGAGAACAATCAACTTTCCTTGGAGTAGCTAGAAATGCTTCACAGAGGAGATAACATCTAAGCTTGGTTTTGGGGGAATCCAGAAGATTGTGTGGCAAGGAGATTTTGAGGAAAAGGATGAACAAATGCAGCAGGGAAGTTTGGAGAAAGGAGGGTGAAGGGCAGGTGAGGTCAGACTATAGATGTTGGCTCTGAAGGATGGCAGGGATCTTTGAGAATGGGGTGATGCAGCCATTTTTCAAACTGAATTTTTAGAAAGATAACTATCATCAGTGCAGAGAACAGGTAATAGGAAGCCAACCAGAAAAGCATTAGAATAGCTATTTCAAAGAGAAAATAGGGGCTTGTATTCTGTTGCAGAATACAACCGTGAGCACCAGATGCAGAAGGCCATTTCTGAAATAAACTAGTTTTAATGGGTGACTGGATGTGACCAAGGGCTGGAGAAAAAAGTTGACTTTTTAGCCTCAAAGCCATGTAAACAGTTTCTGTTAATGAAGCAAATGAACAAAAATGACTGGGTTTTTGGGGAAGGGCGCCCAAGGAGCATGAAAGAATATTCACTTTAAAACATTAACTCCGAAGGGCCTATGGGACATTCTGGTACCTAAAATGAGCAGCTTAAATGCTGGCCTGGAAGCTTAAAAGTCAGCATCACATAGAGCAAGGGTTCATAAACTGGGCTCTAAGGACTTCTGTGGAACTATTCACTTCTTGAACTTGTATGCTGGATGGTTTATTTGGTGTGTACCCAAATGTACACACTCCTGTATGAGGGCCTACGGCTTTCTGTCTCAGTTTGCAAGGAAAAAAGAGGCCACTGAAGCAACTGAATATTTGGAAATAATTAGAAATCAGAAAGAAGCCATTTTTCCTTTTATGATTATGGACTGTTTTAGCTTCAGTAATTCCTTTCTTTTTTCTAAGAAAAGTGTCCTACTTTGATATTTAGAAAGAGGTAAACAGAAAATAGTTTCTGAGAATTATAGACTAGGATAAGCACACATTTCAAATACTGCATGACTGCCCTTACAGCTCCAAGTTATCAGCATGTTGCCTATAATTTTTTTAAAAATATAGTTTCATAGGGCCCAGGATCTAGCTCAGTGGTTCCGCCGCCTGCCTCGCAAGCACAAGGACCTGAGTTCGATCCCTGGTACCAAAAAAAAAAAAAAAAGACATAGTTTCATGCAAAATGAATATGTTATAAAAGCTCAACAGATAGGAAGTTTACTAAAATCAAATCAATTTACAAAAAAGTCAATCACTTATGTATTTAATTATATTCTTCTGTTCAAAAGTAATTAGGCCTAAAAAACAAATAGTTCATTCTTAAATGGATATAATTAATAATGCTCATGTATTCAAATCTAATTTGACTTTTCTCTCTAGTGTTAGATACCAGATATGTCAACAGTTTTCTGTGTCACTATGTAGAGACAAGGGTTCTGTTTAAAACTCCCAAATAGTCAGCAGAATCCTGTGCTGTAGCCAGTTTTCGCAACAGCCAATCTTCCCAAGAAGCCATTGCTTAATGAATACCTCCCATACAGGAGAAGTCCTTCCTTGTGAAAAGGAAGGTAGGTATACTGCTTCTGAGGGAGAAGTAAATTCTTGGCTTTGAAAAGAAACTAACTAAAAGGACAAAAGGAAAAGAAATCAAAGGATATGGTAGGAAATCAGGAGGAAAAGACAGTAGGGTCTTTCTGAATGGGGGAGCTTAAGATGTACTGAGTACAGGAGAAGATTGAGTTTGCCTTCTGGCCAGAACATGAGGTGATGGGTTAGGGATTTTATTCCATAAGGTTTGGTTGGCTGGTCACATGTCACATTATCTAATCACAGCATCACAAATGCTGCTTTGCCCAAGGCAAATGCCTTAAGGAAAAAAAACCAGAGCTGATCCAGAACTAAGAACAGACACCCTTGTTAATGACACTTCCAGCCCATCTGATCTGTCTCTAGGCCTGGTCCCAAATATAAAACTGAGGAAAGGAAAACATACTTCTTACAAAAGAATATGGGTCAATACATGCACAGATACACTTTTTTTTTTTTTTACAGAGAGAGGGAAGGATAAGAAGGAAAGTGGAAAGGAGTAGTGAACTTCACAATTTTATCAAATGCTAACTTTAACTTCCATTCTATATACAAAAAAATGAAAATATGTAATGTGTATATCTAAGGACCACATAGCCACATGGGTTTCTAATAATTCAATGTCTACATTGAGTTTTGTAAATAACTATATTTTTCATGAAAAATTAGTAAAATAAGTATAGAACTGATAATAGATGTTAAAAATCACAAGGGCCATTTGAAAAAAACTAAGTTTATGCATATATATGACTCCTTTGTTTCTTTGTTAGCTAATTATGTACTTCTTCAGAAATTCAAAGGAACCACTGCAAAAAAACCCAAAACCTATATTAAAGGCAGAATGTGAAATATGTTGGGCTGGGGGAATAGCTCAAAGGTAGAGCACTTGTCTAGTATGGGAGAGGTTCTGGGTTTAATCCCCAGTACCACAAAGAGAAAGAGATAGAATGAGAATGAATGAGGTGAAAGGTTTTAAGTTACTTACATTATTACAATAAAATGCATAAAACACTCCTGAGACATAGCAGCCCAGTATTCCAATAGAAATTCCTGCATAATCTAATGCCATCCATCTTCGGCAGGTTTTTTCTGACCGATGGCAAGAAAAAAGATGATAGCCCACAGAGCAAAGCATACAGACCTATGGAAAATAAAAATAAATCTTAACAAGGTGAAACAAAAAAATTAAGGCAATTCAGGAATGATTGATGTCCCTCCCATTCAATCTATTGCTGAAGTAGCCAGTGATAAAATGTGTATGTCAACATCTGTAATATAGAAGTCAGCAGGGCTGGGGATGTCGCCCAGTGGCGCCGCCCTGCCTGGCAAGCGCAAGGTCCTGAATTTGATCCCCAGTACGGGGCAAAAAAAAAAGTCAGCAAACACATAGTTTTTAAAATTAATCAAATGGCCTCATACTATACATTCGGTTCCTTGATTTGCTTTCTTCACCGAAGACTTTTTGTGTACATATAAGACACACTTTAGAGTTTACTTTTAAGTTCTAAGATAAACATGGCTTTATTTTCTCTGTGAAAAAATAATCAAGAAGGATTTTATATGGTTGCCATATTGAACAGCAAGCTAACCTGATCCAATCAGTTGTTCTGACCACTGAAAAGGCTTCTATGGCAGATTCCCTCTAGCCACTGAGTACTTGGTGTGTGTCCTGCATTGGAGAATACAGAGATGAAACCTCTACTCTCAGAGACTTCTGAGAAACAAGTAAACAAGAAGTGCTGCAAGAAGTCTTAGAGAAAGTCAGTGCAGAACATAATCAGAATATTGAGGAGGGAGGGTACATGCTATGTGAGTGTATGTGGATGTCTAGGGGTGAGAGCGTGGTAAGGAAAGAGCATCACTTGAGCTGGATCTTAAAGTTCAGCTAGCATTCATCAGGGACACAATAATGGTGTGTACAGGTTTACTGGGGGTAGGGAAGTGTCCACAAAGAAAAGTAGCATATAAAAAAACACAGAATCATTAAAGAATGGCACATGTCTTTCTTCATACATGTCCTACACATCAAAAGGTTTTAACTTCAGTTTTAATGGCCAGGTATGAAGATTTTAAGGAACCCTTCCAAAGATGTGGACTAGACAGGCTGAGGTGAAAGGTTACAGAAATAGCACTGTGGAGCAAGAGCTATACTAAGCCAGTGACAAAGGAGGTGGAAAAATGGGGCAGAAAACAATATGCAGACTCAACAGATTAATATTTTGTAAGCAACTGCTAAATGGAAATCTAACTATTTTACATTCTGTTCATTAAACAAGCCTAACCAGTTTCCACAGACTTCACATCAATATTCAATGGCAATGTACTTAGTCATACTTTTATTTCTTCATCTGTCTCAAATCCTTATTGGTCAGTAGCTTTTTGGCTACTAGGCTAAAAATCAGAATATACTGGCCCCATTAGACATAATTCTAAGAAAATTGATTGTTATCTTAATTATCCTTGTGGTTAAATGCCATAAATCTGGAGAGTACATGGTGTACATTCTGACAGGGAAAGATCTCATTGTCACACTGTTCAATGATCCAAAATACAGTGATGAAATAGCAAGGAGACATAGTCTTAGCCTGAAGTAGACCAGTAGATGATCAAGCATGTACGCAGGTGTGAGGTAGCCATGCATGTCCACGTCTTGATGAATTTTAACTCAAACATCAATTGTAGTTACCTCTGGGAAGTAGAATTTAAGTGACTTTTACTTTCTTCCATAAACTTTTTTGTTTGCTTAGATGTCTACATGAGTATATAATAACAATATGAAACAATAATAAAGCTCATTTCATTGTGAAAAGGAAAGTAAAAGAGAAGAGAGAAAAACTATGGTATCAGTTGGAAGGGAAAATAATGTTAATAGACAATCCTATGTTTTTAAAAAGTTAATCTATATTTAGTATGCCATATTTAGAAAAAAGTGTGCTATTGCTAGAGCTCCTTAAAAGATGAAAAATAAAGTCTTATAAATTGAATATATTTCAGTTATACTGGGAAGTTTCTTTCTATGGAATAAGTCGCTCTACCAAGGCAGGCAGATAACTACAGCACTACATCCTACATCTAAGCTCACTGGCATAACCAAGTACTTCCCGACCTGGCCACAGCCTATCTTTCTGGCCTTACCTTTCTCTGTTCTCCTAGGATTCAACCATAAAGACTAACTCTTGCAGGTCCAGAAAGTGCTATTTCTTTCCTCTTAAAGACATTAGAATTCTTGAAGAATTTCTTTCTCCTTTCTTCTGGGTCTTTACACAATGTTTTTTTCTGCTAGTGTCTTGCCCCACTCCCTCTTCTGCTCTCCTACATCGATGACTTGATCTTCATGACATGCTAGTTCTGTTCAGCACTGTATTATTGCTGCTTAGGCTAGGGCCTGGAAATATGTAGGCGGTAATCAGTAACTATTTATTGAACTGAACTGTACATGAACAGACCTCTACTCTTCTCCAAAATAAATAACCTGTGAAAAGGTTCAAAGCCCATGACTTATATCTACTATTCAGAATGTACTCTACTAACTTGGCTGGGAAGAAAGTATTAGCACATAGAATGGGCAGGAGAAAAAATGTTTTGTCTCTTAAAGTTAAATGTAAACTAATATTAATGAACACATTTATGTTTTACCAGGCTACCTGCTACCCTAAGAATTTGGAAAACTTGGGTTATAATTTCATAAGAGGAAAAATAAAGTGGTCTTTTTTTTTTTCTGGTACTGGGGTTTGAACTCAACTTGTGCTTGCCAGGCAGGCGCGGCCCCATTGAGCTACATCCCCGTCCCGAAAATGGTCTTTTTAAGTAGGGAAAATGTGTTCATTTGTCCAGAGCAAGTTGTGCAGCATGTAACAGAAAGATCTTACTGCAGCAGTTAAGCGAATAGGATCTTAATGTTCAACTGAATAGTCCTAGGGAGGTCATTTTAATACTGTGGGCCTGTTTCGTCCTGTGCAGTTACAATAATTATTTAACCCTTTTAATTTTATAATACATTCTTAGTCCAAAATAGAGAGTAATATGTATTCTCTGAACTAACATCATCTGTGGCACATGGTAAAAGGTAAAGGACAGGCCTAAGGGTAAAAGAAAAAAACAGGAGAATCTTCAAGTAGATGATACCTACATAACTGACAGTAAAGTTCAAACCAGTTTTTACTTGTTAATGATTTTTAAGAACATCTGATGAGACAAGAGGATTGCAAGTTTATGTCCTGCCTGGGCAACCTGGCAAGAACCTGACTCCAAATAAAAAGTGAGGTGGGGATGTAATTCTCAGTGGTAGAGCACCCCTGGGTTCAATCCTCAGTAACATACATACACGGAAAAGAGTATCTTAGTCTGTACTAACATATATCTAAAAATTTTACTATAAAGAAATGGATTCATTTTCCTTATAAAACTGAAGGTAGATTCTAAGAGATGGTGGTTTCTAATCAGCACAAAAAGTAAACCTCAGAAAGAGTGTAATTTAAAAAGCATTAAAATTTTTTTCTAATAACACAAGATACTGTGTATTCTTTTCCTCAAATAAATTTAAATTTTATTCCAGAAACTGGAATTAGAAAAAAAGAGGGAAATATTTTTGATGTGTTTCTTGATCCTTTAGGCCCAAAGTTTTAATTTGAATAAAATGATGGAGGTCTGAAATTTCATGATGCAATGAAAACATTCTCTGTATGGCTGATTTACAGGTTCATCTCTGAGACTGAGCAGCAGCAGGGTGACTGTAGGGAGTAAGGGTCTGAATGTGAGGAGGAAGGGGATGATAATTTTTCCTTTTTGTTGTTATGTTTGTCTGTACCCCTTGTATTTAAAAAAATTTTTTAAAAGATGTCAAGAGGACTATGGCCCATTTTTGTTTTCTGCTTTAAAATATTGTATTTGAAAGACTACTAAATGTAATTTTTAAAGGCATTTTTACTGGTCCTTGAAAAAAATACAAATGCCAATGGAACTAAACAAAGTTAAAAAGGAATAGAAACTGGAAGTACATGAAACTATAAAAGGATGAAAGGAAATTAACATTAAAACAATAGAGTAAAAGATCAATGTCAGTAAAACAAGATGTAAAATAAAGGTAGTATGGAAATAACAAATGCAAAAGTTACAAATATAAATAGGAAAAAGATAGAAATATTGAAAAATGGGTTTTAAGTAGACACCAGTGATCTATTAAAAGATCAAAAAACAGTACAGACATTCTCAGCCAAGTGTTAATCTTAAAGCAGAGATGTCTAAAAAGATAGCAGAAAGAATTTAATATTTGAAACTTGGTGGATTTCAAATATATTCTAATAACAACACCCAAATATATGTTGACAGATTTTTTTTTTTAGGTGCTTATGTTATGAAAGCAAATAAGCTAATAACAGTACATGTCACTTTTGGGGGCTCTTTGGACCAGTGGGTCTAAACTTAAGTCACCTGTCCTTGCCTGACTGATGAAAGTTCTCTTTCCCAGTAATGGTATTTGTGAGATGACTCACCTGGAAGCAGAAGAGACAAATAGAACAAATTACAAAATCTTCTCTGGATGCACTTGCCGAAGGTAATACAGATGTCATGTCATATATTCCCAGGGTGAAGAAGAGAAAGAAACCCAGCAAATGACTCCAGATGTTTACCGTCTCATTAGATAAAATAAACAAACTGGAAAGTAAACAAATATGCAACTCAGATTCACACTGGTTCACTTACTGTTAGTATTCAAAGGTTAGGGACAAATTTGGGGAGTTACCAACACTTGCTACTTTAAAGATTTAACTCTACCTGTGCCATTCTAAATGTGTTATAACACTTAATTTTTCTTTAAATTTTGCCACATCTTCAACAACCCTGGATTTACAGAACTTTTTCTGTGCTGAATTTTATTATATATTTTCTTCTTTCTATTAAATTATTTACACATAAATTCCACCACATCCTCCATCTATTAACTCCCTGATCATCTTTATAATACCATTTTTCTAAGCAAAGTGTCTGATTTATATTATTTACTAAATGTTTATAGAAATGAGTGTCCAGATAAAAATTGGATCTTAGTCATAATGCTGTTAACAACAGGTATCTGAAAAGCTGCTCAGTGAAGCTAGGTACAAACTTTAAATACCTTTTTAAATACTCACTAACAAATACAAAGTTAAATGGACTTAAAAGAATTGGAATAAATACCATTTGATCCACTGAAAAGGTTCTTTAAGATAGGCATACTGGAACAACTTTGCTGTGGACATTCTGAAACCCAACTAGCTTCCGCATAGCATGAGTTTATCTTCTTTAGGAACAACAGTAGGCTACTTTTAATATGGGTTCTATTTTTTTCTTTTTTAATGCCTGCCCTACTAAGTGGTTTTAGCAGCACTGGATGGTGGAGGAGTACACCACACCATGTCCACCAGACATCAAGAGGCTTGTGTCTCCTCCCTACCCAGGCCACAAAGTAGCTCTGCAATCATGAGCAAGTCACATAACCTCTCTGGGCTTCAGGTTCTTCATCTGTAAAATAAAGAAGCTGGATCAGATGCTGCTCCAACTTCCAGCTACTTTCTTAATTTTGTGAAATGATTTTCAGATGTGTAGGGTGCTCGCTCATCTGATTTATAGGAAGGTGATGTCATGACTAAAGATTAAAATACTCTTGCATTTGTCTATCAAAATCTAATCATTTTGCTTAAAGTATTGCATAACTATCTGCAAGCTGAATTTGCAGCAGCCACAGTGGTTCTCACTTTTGTTTATCAAGTGATAAACACAGCAAGTTCTCGAGCCATCAAATGATCAAGAATAAAGTTAATCTTCTGTCATGGAACTCAAAGTTTATTTTGTACAATATCAAATATAAAAACTACTTATAACGGGGAGGGTGCAGGAATGTTCTAAAAAACATCTAATTTTGATAATAGTACTGTACCCTGCCTATTGGCTCAGAACTTTTCATTTGTGAAACCCAGTATAACCTGATTAACTGAACACAACTTTCCTATGTTCCTTTCAACTATTAAAGTACTGGAGAAACTATTAGAATATATAAAATCTCCCCTTGTGCCCAAAATCTGGCTTGATCACTCTTGAAAGCTGAAAGAAAAGAGAGCAAAGGCTGAACTTGGAAAAAATCAAGCTGGCAGGAAGAGCACTTGGAAAAATATGCCTAGTAGGGGATCTACTCTTACTGTATGAAAAGTTAGACACTCCATACTCTGTTCAGCCTCAAAAACCAATAATCATCTTCATTACCATCACTGGTTCAAAATCATTGATAACTATAATTGTTTGAGTGCTTATTAGGTACCAGGCCCTGTGTAGTATTTTACATAAATAATCTCATTGGATACTACCCCTTGAACCAGATATTGTGATTACCTTCATTCTTACAAGAGAAGAAAATAAGACTCAAAGAGGTTAACTTTTGCACAAGGTGGCACAGCTATTAAGTGTTGAATTATTAAGTGTTGAATTTTAAGAGTTGAATATTCAAGACTTTTTGACTCAACAACTCAAGATGCAATACGCTATAGTTCATTTCTCACTCCACATGATTTAGGATGCGGGGGTCCTCAGCTAGATGGGTATAAAGCATTTAAGGCAATTCACTGCCTGCTCTATCCCTGTGAACTCCACTTCCACAGCAGGCCCAGCTCTGATTTCTTGTGTAATTACTCATGCACAGGAGGCAATGAAGAGTGAAGTAGTAATTAGGATTCAGACTGTGAAGTCCTGTTGGCCAACCATTCAAGCCACAAGGATGCATGGTGATGTTGTCTTGTGACTGCATGTCACAAAGCAGGACAAAAGGAAATAAGGATGGGGAAAGACCATGCTGCAAAGAAAATCAAGAATCAGGCAGGTGGATGTTGCCTGAGTGGTTCAACACCTACATTCTAAGAGGGGGATTTGCTACTACATTGACCCAAAGCTAACCATCTGCGTCTTAATTCTCCTGAGGTGGGGTTCTGTATTTTAGTACACACGGTGAGTTTTGACAGAAAGCTATTCTAAAAACAAGAACAGCAATTTTTCAGATTTTTTTAAATACAGGCTTTCAAAGGAATCTGGTTTTAAAAATTGAGAACAAAAAGTAGAAATTTCCTTTCTTAGAGATCTTCTAAGGTGCCATAGGCTGGGTGCCCCGTTACAGCTCTCTTTGCTACAGCGTTTTTCCTACACAGCATTTTCCACAATGGCTATTATGTAATGTGTAATTATCTCTTTAATGTTTGTCACCCAGGCCAAACTGTAGCACCTTCATGAGAACAAGGGCCACGTCTGCTCTTTTCCACAGGATCTGGTACAGTACCTAGTACTTAGCAGGGCCTCCATAAGGATCTGCTAAATGAATGAATCAGGGCTTTTTAAATATATATATGTATGACAATGTGAACTGTTTCATTTAGCTGGCCCAAAGCACCCGAATTCCCACAGGGTTGCTCTAAACACACACAAAGCTTAGGTGTGCACAGGACAAGTAATGATCAAACACTGTCAGTGGGGTTGATTCCAACATGTATCCCAATGGGCACCAGAAGGAATAAAGGATGTAAAAGCACTGTGTAAACATCAAAGCCCACAGGAGAGTTGGCAATTATGATCACTGTTATTAGCACGATTATTCCGCGGATCAAGCACCCTGAGGGGAGACAGGAGGAGCGAAAGGACGGCGCGGCGAGAGAACGACCGGCGCGGGGAGAAGCGGAGACGACGGGGGACCAGGCTGAAGGGAGCCAGGCGGAGCGGCCAGATCGTACCTTTTGATGCAGAGCCTGGAGGGCAGGTAGGCCCGGTAGCCGTCGGTGATGTACGGGTTGTCCTTGAGGGACACAGGGATCTGCTCGTAGGTGTAGAGGCGAATGCCGCGGGGTACCAGGACCGGCCAGTACTGATAGCTGCCCAGCTCGATGTAGTGCGCGCTCTTCAGCAGCTTCTGATGCATTCTTCCCGGCCGAAGCTGCTCCCTGCGGGGAGCCCGCTCAGGCCCCGCCTCCCCGGGGAGGGGGCTTCGCCGCAGGAGCCCCCGCCCCGGAGGCCGCGGACACCTCGAAGGTCCTACGGCCGCTCGGCCCGGCCGGCTCACGAACCGGCCGTCACCGCCTCAGCGCCCGGGCCCGGCGGCGTCTCGGTCCTCTGTGACGTCAGCACGGCGCGCGGCCTCGCCCCCTCCGTGCGGCCCCGCCCCACTGGAGATGTGCCAGCTGCACGCATGCGCAAATCAGGTGAGAGCTGCAGTAGCCTGTGGTCTTTCCGCCCCTGGGCTATGGGGTGGAAGCGCTGTTGGCAAGGCCGGCTGCAAGTAGTGTTTTTCTCTTTCTGCTTTTAGTTAGAGACTGTAGTCGCTACATTTTGAAATATCGAGGGGAAGAGAGGTGACAAAGAAAATAATGACTAAAGCTGACTTACAACCTGTTGCTTTCTGCTTGGAATCACATACACTTAGAAGGGAACTTTGAGGTTTTTCTAATCTACAGCCAGGTTGATTTATTTATATTAGTATTATTATATTATTATATTATTGTTATACATAACAATTGCATTCATCTTGGGGAATTGGTACAGATACGATTCACATCTTGGTCATTTTTCTTCCCCTTTCCCCGATCTCTTTCCTGTCTCCACAGAGTCTACCTCCCGTGTCCTACCATCTCTTATTTTGCTGTTAACATAATTTATGTTTTCTCATATTAGAGAAGCTACACAATATTTAACCTTTTGTGTTTCACTTCACTTAGCATTATGGTCTCAAGAGCTACCCATTTTCCTATAAACAACTCAGTTATCCTTTAAGACTACAGTCATTTCTCAGGAGCTGTTGGAAATAGAGGAAGCCTGAGGCACCTGGAGAGTAAACCAGAAGCCAGCATGTGCAGAACCATAAAGCAGGCCCCGGCACGTTCAAGACACAGACGCCATTCGAAGTGTGTTCTTGTAGATGTGAAATGGGCTGTGGTTCTTGGCCCCCTCCTCCGCCATGAAGCCAGCTGGAGAGACAGTTGATAGGTCTCCCACTACCTCAGCAGCTGTTATGTATAGTAGCTGCCCTCTTCCTATCATGCCTCGCCCCCTCCCCTGTGTGATGTCATGCCAAGATGGTTGCTCCCACCAAAGAACAAACCCTTCTTCCCAGCATGCCCCTGTTCCCGCCTAGAGAGTAACCTAATACTGGCTCACCTCCTACCATCTAGTGATGTCACGGGCCCTTCATTCCCTAGTCACTACGTCACTCAACCCTGCCTCAGCCCCTAGAAACCCCACCCCAGTCTCTATAAAAGACTCTCCCTACCCGGCCATATTGCTTTTGTTTCTCCTTTGGTCGGAGAAAGTCCGGCAGATCTAGTCCCGTAATAAAGGCTTGTTGTGGCCTGGTCTGGTCTTGGTACGCGGCCTTTTACCTGACAACAGTTATGTGATCAGCTGGAGAGTGGAGGGCTGTCACCCAAATTCCATCTTGCCAGGGTTGCAGTACCAAAAAAAAACGTACATGAGGTTTCTGGGGAAGCTCAAATTAATAAACCCATGTGACACTTAGGAAAGTGCCAGGCACATTGTCAGCACTCAACAAATGTTAATTATATAAGAGAGTTCAAGGAAAAATAAAATTGATAGGGAAAACTGGAAAAATAAACAGATATATTCTAAGTGGACTTAAATTCCACTTAAAGGAAGAGAAACTTAATCTTTAAGCCAAAGAGCTAAAAAATAATATCGGAGAGCTTACTATGTGCCCAGTACTATCTTTGCTGAAGGTTTTTGTGTATAGGACTATACATATTTCCTAGAGTAAGAAAATCATGTCTCAGCATGCCTGCTGCCACTCATACACACTCCTTATGGGAGGGGACTTCTCCATGTATTCTTAAGGATATCACATGGTACTGTGTTTCAGTCACCACTGACCCAAAGGAAAATCAGTAGCCTATGAGATGTCCTGACACAAATTCCTTTAAAGTAATTAGTGTGACCATCAGCGTCTTTCTTGGGACTTTCACCTGGAAGAGAATCTGTAAGTTAGTATTTGAAACAGAAGTGGAAAAATGCACAGAGATTATTAAATATAAGATAGCTGAGCTGTGGTAATGGTGGGACACTAGAGTGAAGGAGTAAAAATGAAAGCAGTTTGATCACAAATGTACCCATGAAGCCTGTTCCAACATGACTTCTGGATTGGTTTCAATAATTTATAACCCATTTTGGCTCTCCCTAGTCGATTTAACTTTAAACACTTAAAAAAAAAAGAAATATGAAGCATTTTTTTGGTGTTTTTTTTGGGACTGGGGATCGAACTCCGGTCCTTGCACTTGTGCAGCAGGCAGCAAAACCACTGAGTTAAATCCCCAGCCTAAGAACTCTTTTAACACCAGGCACTTAAAGCCACATATGAAATTCACGGATAAATATGAATAGATGCAGCAACAATCTATGCCTGAAATTTAGAGTGAGAACGAAGTCTGTAAGTAAAAAATTAATTGAGAAGAGCTCATCCACTCAGGTCTTTGAGATAAGAGACGAAAAAGCAGCACTGGTTTGGTAGCATGAAGGTGAGAGGGCATAATGCCCACAGGAAGCTAACTGGCACTTAGAAGGCTCTGGCAGTTTAGTCATAGTGCTTGACAGAAGTCCTCAGTGACATTCCTAATAAAGCACAAGGTGTGGCATGCACTAGTATTCCAGTACCTGTTGATAGGTGAGGATCAACAGTGGCATCTGGCAGGAGACCTTGGTCCCTCTTGAAATGGCAGTCTGAGGAACTGAACTGGCCATAAGAGATAATAGAAAAATGGCAGGACCTTATCGTGCATGCCTGTGAGACATCGGGGCTTTGGATGTGCTTTAGGTGGTTGTGGGTGGGAGAGAGTTCTCAAGGAGCTGGAAGGCTGCTTTCCTGCATGGTAGCAACTGCCAGAGAAACCTTGAGTTTCTGTGCTGTGAGTAGTAAGTGTCCTACAAGCATAAGAGGGCTGTGGAAACTTCATTGTGCCTCATTTTATAGGGTGATCTTCAGTGAGACTGGATGGAAAGATATGGGGCTGCATGCAGAATTTAAGAAAAAGACATCTCCCTCCCTCCCTTTTATGTATCACTTTACTTTTTATATAACTCTAACAGTGTTGGAGTAGTACTTCTGGGTGTTAAAATTGACTCAGAACATTAGAACTTTGCATTTATTCAATTCTGTGTTCCATTCATTTTCCTGAACACTTAGGAAAACAAAGGTGAATAAGACATCTTTTGGACATCATCTTTATGTATCTCATCAGTGCTCACGTTTTCATCACTGTCTCATTAAATTCTTTTTTCTAAACTTTTAGAACCACCCTCACATGCATGATTTTCCCTTATCTGTCCATCCTGGGTTCCTTTGATAGGTGTTGTTTCTCCTAGGATGTTTTTCAGTATTCTTTTTTTCTTTCTTCCTTCCTTCCTTTCCTCCTTTCTTTCTTTCTCTCTCTCCCTCCCTCCCTCCTTTCTTTCTTTTCTTTCTTTTTTCTTTTTTCTGAGACAGGATCTCACTATGTAGACCAGGTTGGCCTTGAACTCTTGGCAATCCTCCTGCCTCAGCCTCCTGAGAGCTGGGATTACAGGTGTGTGCTACCATGCCCAGCCAAGATTCTTTCTTTAGTTTTCAAAAATTCTGTTTTTACTCTGTGTATTTTCATGGCTTTACTTATTATCATTGAGGTGATGATTCCTAAAATTGTATTTTCAGGCCGAATCTCTTTTGAGCATCTAGATTCAAATAAAAAACTAGACATAGAAACTGAAATGTTAAAGTTGGGTCTTTTAGCTGGATGTGGTGGCACATGCTGGTAATCACAATGTTAGGGAGGCTGAGACAGGAGGATCACCATGGATTCGAGGCCAGCCGGGGCATAGTGAGTTCAAGGGCAACTTGAACTACATAGCAAGACCCTGTCTCAAAATAAATAAATAAATAAAAATTGTAAAATGGTCTTTTCTCTTTCCATTCTAGAAGCCACACTTCTAGAAATAGTGTCAACATTTATTGTCTCTATTTCTGGCTTCCCTTTTGTTGCTTATCTCATCAGAATCTAACTTCTGTTTTTCTATATTGAAAATTCTTCTGCCAATAATGCTAAACTCAATCAACCCTTATAAAAAAAAAGCCTTCTTCATTGTAAAATGGAAATAAACTACAAACCACAACAAAATAGAATTTGGCCAGTCATCCACTCTTCCTTTTTGTTTTCTACAATAAGAGTCTCCACTCTTCTTCCAAAAGTAACCGTTTTCTTGACTTTTGAAATAATCTCTTCTTTGGGTTTCTCAATACTTTTATTACACAAATGTGCATCCTAGGGGCAAAGCTGTTCACATCTGTTAGCCAGGAAGTGGACTGGGCGCGGGAGGGTGGGGGGGTGGGAGTGGGTGGAGCCAGGGAGGGAGTTAATTCTTCCAAGGCCACACCCTCACTACCCTGCCTCTTCCATCCAGGTCCACTTTCTAACAGCACATTCAGCGATAGCATCCCACGATACAGTCACCTTCCAAACGCATGAAACTTTCTGAGGATATTCTATAGCTAAACCGTAACATATCTTTTAAGTCATGTTGTGATCTAGACAGTCTCCTGTATTCCTTTCATATTTCACAGTTTATTTATGGAATTTCTCACAGCCTGGGTCCTGCTATTTGTAGAATCACGATGCGGTTGTATATGTCCTGTGTATATTCTGCAAATTGGCAGTGGGGTTCAGAACCTTGATCAAATCCCTGTTTGAACCTGTTGGCAAGAATTGTTCCTTTATCTGGAAACATTTATGGTCTGATTTTTGTTCTTTCATTAGATGTTTACAAGCTTGATTTTTCAAGGCTCAGATTCAACAGTTGATAGAGACTGAAAAAGAATGATAATAAATTTCTGTCATTTTGATTCAATGTATTAGCTAAATTAAAACAAGTTTTGTAAGGCAGTATTTTATCTACTATTTGGTTTCCCAGTGGCACAGTTCACA